TAGAACTACTGAAGCAAACTGAAGTAGGGAGGATGGGTCTGTCAGGCTCATGGTAGTAGAGGTCACTTGAAGTTGATAAACATTCCTAGAACTATTCATTCTGATATGTGGAACAGCCTCTTCAATTTAATTAGGCTTTCCAAGTGGTATGGTTACATGAAGAAAGCACTGTTAAGGTCAATGGGACAGTCTACTACACCTGACATATTTTTCATAAATTAATACACCAAAGTCTGATTTTATAGACCAATATAGCTATACCTTCTTGAGTATAGATCAGAATAAAACTACTTGGAGGGAACCTACCTTCCCCAGGAAATACCCTTTTCTTGTCCAGATGCATAGAACCTTTACCAAGTTAAGTTTTATCACGTGATAGATTTAGACTGTGAGCTTCTCTAGTGTAAGGATTGTAGTCTTTTACCCTGGTTACAGAGAGTCAACCTACAGAAGGCTTGAAATTATTTGATCTGAGAGTTAAGAGTTTCAGGGAAGGGTACTGAACTAGAAAAGGGGAGGAGAAGCCATATTATTTAGTCACTTTTTAAAGAACCAAGAATAGAGATAAGAACCCAAGGTGCTAAGAGCTCAGTATAGTAGTAGAAGTAGAGTCATGAAGACAGGTAAATGCACTTATAATACTTTATAAAAGGCATAAAACGAAGTGCTAAAATGAAGAGCTATGTAAGTAGTACACCTCTTCAAAAAGGTCTCCCTTACAATCGAATTTAGGCATCTAGTTACTCCCTATCATTACCATTTTATTTTCTTCAAACACTTTATCTTGGATTAACTTAATTAACTAGTTTGCCTGTCTTATCTTCCTAAAATCTAAGTACAAGAGCAGGCATCTTGTCTGTAAATCTCACTGATATATTCAGACAGTACTTGGCAAATAGTATGTGCTCAATAAATCTTTATCAAATGAATAGGTAACTGCCTTGAAGGGAACAGTTGCCACTTGAGTAGGCATCAAGTGAGAAGGGATTTAATTCCAGGCAGAGGAACAACTGGTGCATCATTAAAAAATGATCAGCTGAGCTGATGCTGAGGACAGGCTGAGAGGAAAATTTTTCAATAATCCATGCAAAAGCTAATCAGTTCCTGTTTAGGCAGATTTAAGATAATCTATGCAAACAAAACAATTCTCAGCAGCACCACCTATGGAATTGGGCTGGATTAGTTAAGTGAGAAAAGACAAACCAAAAGAAAAAAGATCTTTGAAAGTTGCCTATAGGAAGAGGGAAGATGAGACTAGATTCAAGGGCCATGTTCTTATCAAGAGCCACGTTTTATCATCTTTCTCAATGTACAAGCTTCTCTCTCTGAATGGACAAAAAAGAGGCTCTTAACTGGTTAACCTGTCATTGGTATTTGCTTACTGTTTCCCCAACTCTTCAATTCCCAGAATAAGGGCCAAACTCCTAGTTGTCAGTGCCCTTCATTAACTAGCTCCTATGACAGCTTCAAGCTCTTCCACATCACCTGGTCTACTACATATCCCTTGCACACCACAATTTCCCACCACCCTGCCTTTGCTCATTTCAAGCCCCAATTCCTACTTTTGACTGAGTACCACTCACCCTTTGAAACTCATTCCAACTCTGCCTCCCTAAATTAAGGCTTCCGTGATTAATACAGATATTTAGAACCAACTCTTATTTGCCTTATTCCACTACTTGTACCATTCACACAACACTAAACAACTTTCTACTTTCTCTGCTTCTATTCCTTTCTAGAATGAGCAGGCCCTTCTCAGGTTATCAATATTAAACTGACTTTTATGTATTTAGGTATGTTAATTCCAACTCAGGTACTGGAGATAGAAGACAGATTAGGGCTACTTAAAAATTTGTCAGACTTTAAAAACAAGGGTCTGTCCTCCAAAAGTAACTCAGAAGACACCAGTAATGCTAGCCAAATGACTGAGAAACACTCAGAGCCAATATAAACACATCTTTCCCTACTTACCTCCCACTAACATGAAGTCATGTTAGGTACCAAGTCAGGTTAAAAGCCTTCACCAACCAAAGCTCTGAGGCAAAAAGCACATAGGAACTTGTAGAAATTGAGCACCAGGAAATTTGGACCAACATACTGCTAAGGCCAACTAAAAACCAGTTGAAATATAAAAACCATTTTCTTCAAAAGCACAAAAAGGCTAAGTAGGTAATAGAGAATTACTGAACCAAAATCTAAATGAGAACACATAAAGCTGATATAACTGAGCTGCCCTTTTCCTTAGGCATTTGCCAATTGGAAGGTGGCCCAAGATGCCTGAGCTGCACTCAAAAGCCTCACAGACTGAAGAAAACCAAAATCAAAACCTAAGTTCAGCTAAACCTGGGAACAACCCCCCTCCCTACCCCCTACCACCTTAAACTGCGATTCCCAAGTATTGTACTTGCAAGGTATGGTGAAACAAAAGTAAACCAGTCCTCACATGTTGACTTGAGACCTGGTTTGTGCCATCTGGATGATCCACAGAACCTCCAGCCTTCAATCTGACTTCTTTAAGGTTTGGTAATATTCCCAGGCACAATCAGGAATCCTTCCTATAGGTGGATGCCTCATCCTTGCCCTATTTATTTCTACAGATAATTTTCCAAATATACAGTCCAGCTAACAGATACCCAGGCAATGAAGAGATGACACTGTAAAAGCATCAGAAAAAAGCAAAAACCCATGAAGACTTCAGACATTGACATTTTAGACAAAGTACCACACCCTCCTTACAGTGAAGTACTAATCATTTATTTGAAAATATGGTTTGGGGTGGGTGGCTGGAAATTCTTCCCTAGGTAAACTTGCTCCTTTTCATCCTGAGGGTGTTAGCCCTGTCCAAGGTCCAGTTTAAACTGTAGCTATGAGACTATATAATAGCACTCCCCAAAGCCATTTTCAAGGGAAGAATCACTAGGGCAACAGAGAAGTCATTATTCCTTAATAGTATTTAACAAACTATCTTTCAATAAACACAAAATTGTCAAACTTTAAAATTTCAAAATTAATATGCTTAAAAGCCATTCTAAACCTCACCTGAACCCCCAAACGTATGCTCCACATCCCCATCCTGAGAATCATTGCTCTAAGAAATTCTTCAAAAACCTTTTCCATAAGATACTCTTTGGCAATGAGTTTTCGTTTGTAAGTGTAGGATTTTTTCACCAGACCTCAACCTGAGGTGTAACTCACCTAGGAATAACAAATTAGGGCACATGTCCACGAATCCATGATGCACCAAGCTGGCTTTGTGAACTTTCAAAAATGTCTATCAGTAGGGCAGGGACCCACAAACTTTTCTGTACAGGGCCAGAGTATTTTCAACTCGGTGACCCATACTGTCTATCTCTGGAGATGCAGGGTGAAACCAGCCACAGATGCAAATGAATAGGTGCGGCAACATTCCAATAAACTTTATTTACAAATACAGGCCATAGTTTGCCTACCCCTGCTATAGGAAATAACAAAATACAGATTCACTGAAAGACATTACTGATTTGTCATTCATCTTTTATGTTTTCTTAGTCAAACACTTAAAAGTACAAAGTCTAATAAAAGAATGTGAGATTTTGATGTTAAAGAGGCTATTCATACTGTGAAGTTGGGAATTGCTCCTGCAAAAAGGAAGGTTTTGTTCTTCAGATCTGATGAAGATCACTGTAAAGAAACCTGCTGTACCATTCTCAGGTACATATTCTATGTCCCAAACTGCTGTGCTAAATACTTTCTTTACATGGACTTTATCATCTCACATCTGAAAACAAAACCCCGTGACATAAATACAATTAACCCTCATTTTACACATGAGGAAACCAAGGCTCAGAAAGTTCACTAGCTTGGCAAGGCTCACATATGCAAATTAGTGGGAGAGCAGACTAAACTCTAAGGCTGCACACAACCAAAGGTAATTCCTTTTAACTACCAGACTACCCAACCAATCCTCCCTGGTGGGCAGAGAAGGTTCACCACATGTTGGCCCAAATTCTTTTATGCCCTGATGTTCTTCTCCTTGGGGAGTATTCAATAATTATCAATGCCTCAGAACCTTTTATTTTTCCTGTATGCCTCTGAACTAGGCAGGGACACTTACTCCTTTCATTCCCAGTAAGACTTTACTGAAAGAGGTAACAAATGGAATTCAGAGAAAAAATAACTAGCTCACTAGGAATGGCTGTTCTGAAATCACAGATCCTTTAGTCCATCTTTATAGGTCTCTGTAGGTTGAACTATTCCCTGGCCTTGACCTACCTCCACGAGACAGACACTTCCCTAACTGGGAATGCCTCGAAATTCAAGCCCTAGAAATCAAGGTCTAGGGGAAAACTCCTTTTGCAAGTCTAAGGTCTAGCTTAAAGGTCTCTATTTTCTGTCCTAGGAACTGTCTTTTCTCTGCATAAAACACTGATACGTCGAGTCCCTTTTGAGGAGATCCCCAAACACAGCCATGGTGGTGGTCTGATCCAGTGGCCCCAAAGGGCAACCAAATCATAATAGAACAGCCTAGTAACAACACTAGGTGCACTGAGTGGGTGTCTGTCATTTTTTCTTAGTGTAACATACTTTACTTCCCAGCCAGAAACCACTTGGTAGGAATGGGGTTGACATTTGCAACAATGAGTGGGCACATCACACTGATTCTGTAACAAGAAGACTTTAGTGAGGCATCGTTCCCCATTCCTGGTCCATCCTTCAGGACTTTTGATGGCCCCCACAGCTGCCCTTCCCTTGTTTTGGTGTGACTATCCCACTGTAAGGTCACTCCCATTACAGCCACTGCTATGCTCCTCTTCCAGGAACAAGTGACTACCCTGGAAAAAAGAGATGGAACAAATTGCTCTTCGAATATGAAGTAACTCTTAATTATTAAAAGATCACTTCTGGGCTTTAAGAAAAGTCTGTAAGTCTTCAATGTAATGTTTTACTGGGGAAATGGTTACAGCAGCCTCACATAAATTATTTGAAGAAATATTATCAGTATTAAGAAGGCAAGGTAAACAAATAGCTTAAGTATTTTATTTGTTTGCAACTAAGCTTGTTAACACTATATAATGAAAATGTACAAAGAATAATGTTGCAGTTTTTGGTTAGATTTAAGTCAAAGACATTCATTAATAAGAAATCTGTGAATATTCCAGAAATTTCTCTAAGCCATCTGATCAGAACAACTGTCTCTGAATATTACCTTACTTTGGAAGGTATTGGCATACATTAGAATTCAACTCAGAATTTTTTCAAAATAAGCCCTAATTAATAAAACTATTCTATATTCAAACTAAAACAATTTTAATATAACTTTCCTTTCCAGAAACAATAATAAAGAAAACAAGGCATTTTGTACAATGTGGTCCTGAACAAGTCACAGTAAAAAATAAATGTATACTTAATTACCACCTCCTCAAAACAGAGGCCACTTTCTGTTCTTCAGCTTTGGAAACAAGGTGAAGAACAGTCTGTAAGCAACTTTGGGCAGGGGGTTGCCAAAACAAAGCTCAAGCAGTTGATCACGGACACCTCTTAGAATTTGGGGGAACCTGACCAAGGATCCGAATTCTATTTAATAACCGATACAAAGGTGAAGTGGCTCCTCCTAAGTAGCAGTGCTGCCAGGGCTTAGCCCAGCCCTCTGCTCACCTGTTATGCTCCCAAGCAAACCCTGATGCTCCTGCTCCAGGGGAGACTTTCTTTTTAGAGGTTCAGTGTCCAGGGAGCTCTTTGTGTGAATGAGGTGAGCACAGACTCCACATGGGTATTTTAAGGCTTGGAGTCAAAGTATTTTTCTAACACAGCTAGACAGAGTCCATGTTTCAAATGGCCTGTCTCCAGTTCATCCTAATTCCTTACCACATTATTTGTAGACCTAGGACCAGAGACCTTTGCTATGTCATCATAATCACATAATATCCATCCTAACTTATGATTCATATTCTGTGCCTGGAAACAGTCCCTGTATTTAACAATAATACCTACACATAAAATGATCCACTGTTACAACTTATATGGTCACAAAACATTAATGATCTTCGGTAGACCGAGCAAATGTTTTTAACCATAACTGTCGTGCATCAAATTCACAGCCAGAATACCCCAAGATCAAAAAAATTTGCACAATACAAATAATAACTTAAAACACACACACACATATACACACACACTCAGACACACTTCTTACAGAACTGTGCTTGGGGAAACTCCATTTGTTGAGTGCCACTGAGGGCATATTTTGCTAAACTGCTGCTCCAGATATTTTTGTTTGGAAAATCTCACAGTAGGGCACAGCTGTTTATTGGATGAGCAGAAAAGAAAGATATGCTTGTGGCAACCAGAAAGTTTAAAGGTCTTTCAAGTTGTATAAAATGGACCTGCAGAAACATTTAAGTGTTCTCAGGATGCAAAGTTGGAGCTGAAATGTGATATCAAACCAGTTGCAAAAAGTGTACAGCAGCCATCTCTTGAGGTCAAACCTGGTACCCAGATATGCAAAAGAAAGCTTCAGGACACATCTATAAATCAGGAATAAAAACAAAAGAGTGTAAGAATACTAAAAATATACTGTGCTTTGAAAATATTAATTAATAGTAAGTATGATGATAAAGAGCATGTATGATATGAACTGCCACTTAAAAGGTCCTAAATTCTCAAGAATTTAAGAAACTTGGGTTCATTATACACGTATTTATAATTTATGCTTTGAGTAACTGGTAGATGTAAGATGTTTAGAATTAATTCTGACCATTATACTTGATAAGCTAGCTTACAGAATCAACTTTCATAAACTAACTTTCTGGAGGAAAAGACAGGGTAGTAAATTGGCACTGGAGTCAGACTACCTAGGGTTTCAATCCCACCTATGCTGAACAACTAGCTGTATGAGCTAGGACAAATTACTTAACCTCTTTTAAGTGCTATCCTTACTGTAAAATGGGGTTAATATTTCCTCTACTTGCCCCACAAGCCATAGGGTTACTGTGGCTTAAACAAACTTCATGAGGACTTTCAAGGGCTTAATTGGCACAGTTCTGGGCATGCATGTATATTTTAAGTGTTAGCTATTACTTTACTTCATAGGGGGCTTTTTGCTCTCAGGAGACAAGGTATTTAGTATCAAAATCTTGCTCTTCAATGTGGAAAATTAAAAGAAAAACTTGGCAATACTTACAGCTTGTTGGCCTTGTCCCGTATCGTCGCATAATCTGATCATGTGTGAATTTCACAAAAGATTCATATTGTTCTGTAAGGGGAAAGATAATATATACTATCCTCAGAAACTATCCTCTAGCTTTTTAAGAGTCAAGTGCAGGATCACATCTAGGCTTCCAGTTTAAATTATCCACTCTTAGGCCCTCCTTATAATGATCAATCTGAGATCTGAGACCTATTTACTTCCTCTTGGATCCCAGAGTCAAATCCCTGGCTTCTAGATTTGGTCACTGACTGTAACATTTTCCTAATAATCTCACCCTTGCTGTAACTGTATCTCTACTAATGGCTTCCTAAGACAGATATGCTCACTACAAGCCTGCAAATTTTAGGGTATCTCCTATAGGATATGAAGCTTGAAGCTCTTTTCTGCATTCATTCTTGCTATATATAACTTTCAACAACAACAACAAGAGGTGAGATAACTAGAAAGCTAGAAGAAATTCCATACTACCTCTAGACAGTTCTACAGAAGTATCTTCTAAAGGGAGAAAGATAAAAGGCAGCCTAACATCTGTGAACAGTGACTTAGAGCCAGCTGGTCTAAGTAATTTTGGGGTGGGGGTAGGAGAGGGGAATGATACACTAGAGCTTCTTACCATACACATTATTAATATATTAAAGGATCAAAGAAGTTCTATCATAAAGAAACTCATTTGATTTTTGTTGTTAAGCCATCAGTTCAAGCAGACCTATTATATTAACATTCTGAGGAACCACGTGGCATCAGCAAAATAGGAAAACAGTACTGTTACAGAAGAAGTTGTTGCCTAACACCTCTCTGATCACAACTTGTCCTTTTTCACTGAACAGGTACTATTTTCTATCCCTGATTTAGATCCCTTCCTTTCACAAAAGGCTCTACTTGTTGCTATCACTAATCACTTCCTTTGCTTCAATAGCCTGAGCTAACCTTTCCAAACTTTTAATGTTCCTACAATCACAGGATGTCTGACTTCCCACATTCACAAAGTGACTCCCACTAGTAAGTCTAAATATGATGACTATCCTCCTCCCAACCACCTGTTGGGACATTAGCAATATTCTAACCACCTGTTTACATGCCAGCTAGCCCAAATAACCTACTCAATGCCTTTATTCGTATGGAAAATTCTCAAAAGAAAAGTTTGGAATTTTGGTTTAATTTTGTTTCAGAAATGTGAAAAGGTTTTTTCATACAATGTATAAATGAAATGTTTAGAATCACCAGGGAGTACGTTAGTATAGCTCATTGAACCTTCCTGCACAAAGTCCTACTCTTTTTCTGAGTTACCATTTACTTAATGGGTTAATCCTTAGTGAACCCCATTAACAATGGCACAGCCACTACTCAACCAACCTACCTGCTAGTTTGCTATTGAGGATCAGCTCATACTCCTCCCGAATTTTGTCTTCATAGTCTTTTAAGAGAAGCTCACATATTATTCCAACTTGTCGGAGGGTAAAGGTGGGCTGGTCCTTCTTCATCCAGGAGGAACCTGGCCAAAAGACGAATCTAGTTTATATAACATGCTCTAGTTCTAAGGTTCAGAATTAATAACTTCATGTGAACAGTCCTAGGATACAGAAATTATTTAGAAAATAAGACTTTTTCACTACTTTACATGAACTATTTTTCAAAATCCTCTGAGTTTCTGCAATTTGTTTTGCAAAGTAAAGCTGAAGGTAAATCGAGAAGGAGGAGGAACAATGCATATCCAGGTGTGCTAGCTTATCTGCATAGAGCCGTAACAATCTGAGCTCATACTCAATAATCATTTGGTAAAGGACAAGAACAGCAAGTTTAAAGACATAAAGCCTCTAGTCTAGATTAGGGTAAGTAGATTCAAGCATGAGAGCTACCCAGATTTCTGGAGATCATCTATACCTATATTTAACCAAGGTGAAATTATCTGTAGAATTAACAAAAACAACAAAGAAGGATACACAGTCTGATTTAATTCTGGGGTAGGGCTTTGGAATCACAGGTCATTCTGTTATGGAATGGTTAGAAGTCTAATGCTTAGAAGACCAGAGGACTAGTCCAATATAAAAATGACTGTTAGCCAAGTCACTGAAATATGAATGGATACAAGCAGACACAACACAACTTATCCTTAATCCCTCCTGAATCTAGGCTGTAAGATTGAAATGTCCCTAAGAGTACAGTTGGCCATGAACAACAAGGATTTGAACTGCATGGGGCCACTTATATGCAGATTTCTAAATTTATTGTAAATTTTCTTTGGAGATTTGCAACAATACAAAAAAGCGTCTTTTCTCTAACTTACTTTAGCATAAAGTGCATACACCATACAAAATATGTATTAATTACTTGTCATTGGTAAGGCTTCAGGTCAACAGCAGGCTATTAACAATTAAGTTTTTGGGGAGTCAAAACTTAACTTTGGGGAGTTTGACTGTGCAGAGGGTTGGTACCTCTAACCCGTGCATTGTTCAAGGGTCAACTGTTGTTAGAAACCAAAATATCTAGCAGAATGCCAGAAAACATGGAAATCCAATTCCTGATCATGATAAAAGCAGCAGCTCTATTGGTAGCCCAGTTCTGAGTTGTTCCTCAGAGCTAAACCTGGAACCTGTTTCTTTGGTCCTCTTAGTCTGTAAACCACTTAACACCCTTAAACAAACCATTTTTGTTTAAACCAAAATTTTTTCTCTACAAATGAAACCTAACCAAAACATCTAGCTAGTCATTATTTGTAATTGTTTCTCCACCCATAACATATTCTATTACCTCAAAATTGTATTACTAAAATCTCAAGAGAAAATTAAGGAGAGACTTGATAGCTATCACCATTGAAAGGTCTATCATTCATGTATGTGCAAAAGAGCAATTAGAGTTAAAAAACTCAGGTGAAATTAATGTAAAATGAACCATTTTAGAGTGAACAATTCAGTGGCATTTGGTATTGTCACACTGTACAACCACCACCTCTAATCTAGTTTCAAAACATTTCTATAGGATACAGAAATTATTTAGAAAATAAGACTTTTTCACTACTTTACATGAACTATTTTTCAAAATCCTCTGAGTTTCTGCAATTTGTTTTGCAAAGTAAAGCTGAAGGTAAATCGAGAAGGAGGAGGAACAATGCATATCCAGGTGTGCTAGCTTATCTGCATAGAGCCGTAACAATCTGAGCTCATACTCAATAATCATTTGGTAAAGGACAAGAACAGCAAGTTTAAAGACATAAAGCCTCTAGTCTAGATTAGGGTAAGTAGATTCAAGCATGAGAGCTACCCAGATTTCTGGAGATCATCTATACCTATATTTAACCAAGGTGAAATTATCTGTAGAATTAACAAAAACAACAAAGAAGGATACACAGTCTGATTTAATTCTGGGGTAGGGCTTTGGAATCACAGGTCATTCTGTTATGGAATGGTTAGAAGTCTAATGCTTAGAAGACCAGAGGACTAGTCCAATATAAAAATGACTGTTAGCCAAGTCACTGAAATATGAATGGATACAAGCAGACACAACACAACTTATCCTTAATCCCTCCTGAATCTAGGCTGTAAGATTGAAATGTCCCTAAGAGTACAGTTGGCCATGAACAACAAGGATTTGAACTGCATGGGGCCACTTATATGCAGATTTCTAAATTTATTGTAAATTTTCTTTGGAGATTTGCAACAATACAAAAAAGCGTCTTTTCTCTAACTTACTTTAGCATAAAGTGCATACACCATACAAAATATGTATTAATTACTTGTCATTGGTAAGGCTTCAGGTCAACAGCAGGCTATTAACAATTAAGTTTTTGGGGAGTCAAAACTTAACTTTGGGGAGTTTGACTGTGCAGAGGGTTGGTACCTCTAACCCGTGCATTGTTCAAGGGTCAACTGTTGTTAGAAACCAAAATATCTAGCAGAATGCCAGAAAACATGGAAATCCAATTCCTGATCATGATAAAAGCAGCAGCTCTATTGGTAGTCCAGTTCTGAGTTGTTCCTCAGAGCTAAACCTGGAACCTGTTTCTTTGGTCCTCTTAGTCTGTAAACCACTTAACACCCTTAAACAAACCATTTTTGTTTAAACCAAAATTTTTTCTCTACAAATGAAACCTAACCAAAACATCTAGCTAGTCATTATTTGTAATTGTTTCTCCACCCATAACATATTCTATTACCTCAAAATTGTATTACTAAAATCTCAAGAGAAAATTAAGGAGAGACTTGATAGCTATCACCATTGAAAGGTCTATCATTCATGTATGTGCAAAAGAGCAATTAGAGTTAAAAAACTCAGGTGAAATTAATGTAAAATGAACCATTTTAGAGTGAACAATTCAGTGGCATTTGGTATTGTCACACTGTACAACCACCACCTCTAATCTAGTTTCAAAACATTTCTAACACTCCAAAGTAACACGCCCTTACCCACTTAGCAGTTTCTTCCCATTCCCTCCTCCCCCTAGCTCCTGGCCAACACCAAACTATGTTCTGTTACAAGACAATTTTTAATCAAGATAATTTTTAACTATTAGAACTGTTAAAAAGTATAACGCTTTGTGAGGAAATTGTCCTCTACTGTTAAAGGAGACAGAGTTCACCATCAATGGAGATGTTTAAGCACTGGTCTGTTGACTATTTATAGTGATACTGTAACAGGCAAGACTGGTGGCTGAACTATGTGATCATGAAGATCCCCTCCAACTCTTGAGGTTCTATTTTTGAGCACATCCTCTCTGACCACCTGTCAATGTCACAGAGCAGGGGTGTCACTAACTTTCTGAAATGATGGAAATATCCTATAGTTGTGCTAATACAATAGCTACATGTGGCTACTGCATCTGAGCAACTAAATGTTAAAATTATATTTTAATTTACAATTAAACAGACATGTGACTAAAGGCTAAAGACATTGCAATTATAGAGTACTCTTGTATTGGGTGAATAGAAGCCAAATAAAATCAAAGGTCTTTTCTGGGATGGTAGTACAGCATGGAGAACATAGCAATGATTCTGTAACATCTTCCTATGTTGACAGATAGTAACTGCACCAGTAACGGTAAGCATTTAATAATATGGTAACTGTTGAACAACTGTATTGTATACCTGAAACCAATATAAGACTATATATCAAATATACTTCAATAAAAAAAATCATCAAGTCTTTTTCAGCTTCATGACTCTATGGTTTTAAATATGTAAATAGCAATATAATGTATACACTTTACTAATTTACTGGTTTAGATAAATTCTGGATTAGGAAACCACCATTTTAAGTACCATGTACCAACTCTTAAATGGACTATGCACACTAACTGTATGCTTACCTGGAGAACTTGGTGCTGTGAGTGCTGAGGAGTGAGGCTGACTTTCTGAAGTACAAGCTTCACTTTGATTAAGAACAACTTCTAAATGTCTCCACCTCTGATAACGACTATATTCTTGCTTTATGTTCTGAAAAATTTGCTCTAATAAAAAAGAAACATACTTGAGCATTCTGTTTTCTCATTTCTTCAAACTTCTTGTCCCTCCCATTATTCCCCCAAAGTGTGTCTCTCTTCTTGCTATTTCAATAGCACAGAGAATAGCAGCTATTTTGGCGTAAGCCACCCAGATGGTTCTCTTTGCTTGCTTTCTGTGACAATGAAGGCCAGGTCCACTGTCTGTTGTAGGATTAACTAGTACAACTTAAAAAAAATATGTCCTTCATCTAATAAGGAGCTATTTTTAACTTACTTTAAGTTGCAAGATTTCACAAACTATGGTATTAGGGGTGATTCTTCTACCACCCAAGGCCTAACAATGAAGCTCTTGTCTCATTTAGGACTCAAAATCTTTGGGGAAGAGGACAGCAGAAATCATTATGTTCACAGCCTGGACTTGATGGGGTGGGGGGCAAGACCTGAGAATTTTTGCTTGGAAATGATGATCAGGGCTTAGAAAAGTATTTTCTGATCCTGCAAGAGGCAGTATTCAGTAGGATTCAGATTACTATTCTGAGTCAAGGTAATCATAAACCAAATTTGCTAATGCTACTAAAGGGAGTCCCGGACACACAAATCCACCTTGAAATATACTTCCAGAAACAACACAGAAGAATCTGGAAGGATGTGGTTTTCAAATTTTTTGTTTCTGTGGTAGAATATGTGTTCATTTTCCAGATAATAAAGCCACCTAATCAAAAACAAAAACTAGAAAAATTATTACCCCCATTTCAATGTATACTTTGCTATAACCAAATTTTTTTAATAGGGACAATTATTAGTAATGCCATTTTGCTTCTTACTTGCTGTGTGACTATGACCTTGGGAAGTCATTCAGGATCTTTAGCCTAGTTCAATATAAATGTTAAATGCCTACCTTGTAAGCTGTGAAATTAAAATGTTAGTAATACCCACAAACTGATACAAACTCAAAGTAGCTCCAAACATAGCTGAACTCCATCTCACTCACTCTCAACACTGGATCAATGTAAGATTAGGAAAGCTTTCCTTTCAGAATGCTATGAAGTTCGTATTTTAAGATCCCTGAATTTATGAAGTCTTCACTTCATCTTTAAAATGTCTTATTCTCCAAGCACATACTTGCCAGACTCAATACAAGGATGTAAGGAACTGCAAAGACATGAAACAAGAAAGGACAAGTATGAGGACAATGCTCATGAGAACAGAAGGTCTTTGTAAACCTCTAACTGTGTTCTGCATGGCAAAGTGAACAAAATGGAGATACAACACTTTGAGGACTAGTAAGTCCAAGAATCTAAACACGGTACGCACAGGAGGAAAAAAAAAGCATAAGTGATTTTCTTCCCAATAAGGCCACATAAAAGGGGAAAGGGCATTTTTTTTTTGGTATCATTAACCTACAATTACATGAAGAACATTATGTTTACTAGGCTTCCCCCTTCACCAAGTCCCCCCCACATACCCCTTCACAGTCACTGTCCTTCAGCATAGTAAGATGCTGTAAAATCACTACTTGTCTTCTCTGGAAAGGGCATTTTTTAAAAAAAGAAAAATGCACATTTCTTTTTTCAGTGGATAATTTTAATCCTTGCCTCCATTATTTGAGGTTGTACTTCCAGGTTAAATCAGACTAAGCCCATCTTCAAACTTCAACAATGGTGCCTAGATGTTATAGATCAAAATTTGAACTATTAAACATAGCATTCCATGGTTTCTATTACTTGGCCCTAAGTTATTTTTTCCAGTTCCATCTCTCACTACAGCCTAGTTGCACTAAACAATCCTTTCCTTAATTTACGGTTTTCTGGCCTTTGCTCAAGCAGCTTCCTTTTGTTTGAAATGGGGTTGTCTCACTACCTCCAACATTATTGAAGACCGAGCTAAAATGCCACCTCAATCTGGAAGTTACTCCCCAACCCCTTCAGTCATGATCAATTAATTGTTTTGCATCTAGACTCACTCCATGTTTATAAATACCTCCCTAAGGTTAGCAACCTCCTTCTATGCCTGGTATCCACCCAGCTCATTTTAACAATAACTTAATTTTACAGGCCCTTTCCACAAAAAGTACTGTATCCTTTTTTTTAAGTGAAGTAAAAACAGTTTGAGAACTTTACAATCCTTGAGATAACTAGGTTATAAAATACTGATTTTTAAATTTACTTGTTAGTTACCTTTATTCTTTATTTGTATAACTAGTATTTCCTCCCCATTCCTCCTTTTTAATCCAGAAGGCATCTTCCACTTAAGCCAAAGCATCAACTAATCAATCATTCATACTGTTTCTTTCATGTCAAATCGCATTCCAGTAAGCACTGATCAATGTTTATAAATGAGTATTTTAAATATTTAACATTAACAAACTACCACTTGCCATATTGACACTTCAAGTTCAGTACTAATTTATTAAGCATTTCCTATAATGTGAACTACCACATAACTAGCTAGAGGATAGTACTGGAAGAAATAAAACATTTACATAAAAGCCATGAAGATAGGACAAATACTAATTTTATTTTGCAGAAGAGAGATCCAGAAAGATTGTATGACCATCCTTGGCTATTTGCAGGAGCAATGGAAGAAAAAAAATCACCTCAAGTGTACATTTATGTCTCCAACTTTTAAAGACCTCTTTATAAAGAACTTTTGCAAACGTTATTTCATTCAGTACCTAAGGCTTTGCAACATTACGTGGTCTGGGCAATTTAAAATTGAACAGAGTTCCTTACCGAGCAGGTTTAGTCAGGTAATGGATGGGAGACTTTAAAAAATGACTGTATTTGGATTAGCAAATAAGAGGTCATGATGGAAGGCAAGGATACATTACAGCCAGGTGTGGAAAAGGAGCAAAAGAATACTTTGAGGAAAAAAATGTCTAAAAAACTGAGTAGGTAAGATATGGTTATAGTTGGTAAATCCTAAGAATGCCAGCATAAAGAAATGAACATGGGTGAGGATATAGTGTCTGGGGGAGCGGGGCTGCCAACTGCGGGAATCTTGGTGAGGATGAGAGCTGAAATCTGTATTGTAGATATGCAGGGAAGGGAGGAAATAAAGCCCAAAGACACGGGTTACTGAAAGGAAAGAATGATGTTAAGGCAATTCCAAGGTTTTGCTTATACTCGAAGAAGAGGAAAACACAAAGAATGGACTTGCCAAAGTCCGCCTGAGACCCCCCCCCACCCCCCAATTTCCGGGAGTCCTTTTAAAACTGCTCATCAATTCTAATGCACTTTCCCCCTCTACTCCTGGCACAATGGTTAGATTTTTTTGTTTTTTAATTTTATCAAACCAGCTCTTCCTTTTCCTTGGCCAATGTGAAATCCCTTATCGAAGGACAAGTCTGACACGGACAGTTGTATTTCGGAATCTCAGTGTTTAAGGATTCTAAAATTCTGGCTAACGACCTACCGATATCAAACCGTAATGGTACAAGACAATAGCCATACAATAAAAGGACATGGCCAGTCTCTTAGAAATAGGTTGAAATCGGAATCCAAGACTTCTGCGGCTGCGTCTGGTGCCCAAAGACTTCTGTAAATCAGCTATCCCTACAAGCTATAGTCTAGTGCAAAACAGCACACACTCGGGCCCCTTCCCAGGAACCCGACCCAACCCCCATGCTTAAGGCCGGGTTCGTGAGTAGAATCCAATTTTCCACGGCCCACTGGATCCTCAGGGCGGCTCTGTGCGGGCCCGGGCAGCGGAGGCAGGAGGGGCTTCGCGGCCCGGGAGGGCCCCGAGAGGCCAGGGACATTCCCATCTTCCTCCCGCTGCCCACCCCTCTGGGATCTCCAGCTCTAGGAAAACCGAAAACCGACAGTGGCCCCACTACCCCTCCCGGATGTCTCCCATCCCCGGAAGCGCCCAGGCCCAGCGGCACCCCAGTTCCCTTTTCTCTGGGAAAAGAGGGGGTCTGTGTGTGAATTAGCCTGGCGTCCGTACCCTACCGCCGCCCCCCAAAAGATGCCTGGGCCTGGCTTCCTGCCAAGCCCGCAGCGTAGGTTACCCGGAGTTGGGAGGCGCCGCTCGCCACCGGGCGGGGCGGGCTGCTGCAGAAACGGCGGTGGGGTCTGCGTCTGGAGCAGCGGCGGCGGCGGCTCGGCGTCCGGGGGCCTGAGGCCCGGAGTGGGGCCGGGAAGGGGGGCACAGCGCCGCCGCTTCGGGGACCCAGGGCTCAGCAGCGCCGCCTCGAACTCCATGGGCCGCTTCAACGTCGCCCCGCACGCCATGTTGCTCAAGGGCCAGGGACCTGGAGCAGACGCGGGAGCAACTGCAGCCCAACCTCCGGTTCCCCGGCGGAGCTCGCAAGCCAAGCCGGCTCCAATGGCGCCTCCAGCACCCGGCAGCGCCGCTGGCTCCGCCTCCCGTGACGTCACGGCCCCGGCCACTGCCCGGCAGAGGGGCAGAAGTCGGAAGAGGGCCGCTCTGGGAGGTCAGTCAGCAACGTCCCAGCCCGCGGCGTTCCCTGCCGAGGAAATGGAACGGTCTGGGCGGAGAGCTTGGTCGCCAAGCAACGTCGGGAAGGCCCCCACCCCCGCCTCGGTCGCTCCCAGGGTCCCCTCTTCCCCTCCTCCCCTCCTCCCCTCCCTTACCGAGCAGCCGCGCTGGGGTGGCCCCTTAGGTTTTCGCACCTGCGCGTCCCTGGCGTGGGGGAGGGGGGAGTTTGGAGTGGTCGGTCTAGAGGGCGTGGGGTCGGTTTCTCCCGGTCCGGTTAATTTGCTTTGTAGGCCTCTCTAGTCTCTGTGATAAAACCCTGAGAGGTCCTGAAAGTATTCCCCTGAGTCCAGGGAAGTCCTCATTTAAACATAACCCGAGATCTGAGGGCAGATTTATAGAAGTCCACCACCCCAATGAAATACTATGTATGGGGAATAGATGACCCACATCTTACTTAGTCAACTCGTCAAAGGGGTCTCCTACTTAAAACAGTATAAAACAAACAGAAAAGAACCCACGGGCTTAAATCAACACTGGCTCAACATCCAAGTGTTAGAAACTTCATCTGATGTCTTATTTGCCAGTCACCCCCACGTGTGCTTGCCATCCCCAGCTCAGGTACTTCCTCAGGTCTATCTGAATTCTTCACAGCATTGTTGCCTGTAAAGTGCTTTTGATAATATGGAAAGATAAAATAGGTAACAGAAGAATTCTGCTTTCAGAAACTGTATGTGCTTTTATGTAACTGGGAAGCAGGTCCAGTGCTTTCAACAGATCGTCAAAGGGATAGGTGATCCAAGAAAGGTTAAAACCTTTCTATAACGATTCATATACATTAAATAATGATCATGCCTCCTGGAATCTGTCTGCTTCAACATACCTCTATTATTTTACAGAACAGTCGCAAATTTCAGATACTCTCTTCTAATAGGCCATTAGCCAGATCAATTTGCCCCAATAATAGAATATAGGCATACTATCTCAGTCCCATTCTTTGTCCCTTTTCAGTTGCTTTTTTTCTGGGTCCTCCTCAATTTCTCCAAATCTTATAAAGATCCAAACATAGGTCAAGTTTTTTTGCATTATCTTTGAGAAATAGAAATAATTCTGAAATGACTAAGCATACCAGATGTTAAATTAATTTTATCCCATCCCTTTTCCATAGGACGTAAAGGAGATTTGTAATAGGCTAGAAAACGAGAAATAGAACATTAGGGCCAAAGAAAAAGGAAATGACAATTGTCCTGGGGCTAACCATGACTGTGACTGAATCTGAAATTTGGTTCTGAGTTCCTTGCTGCCCAGGGAAAAATACAAACAGTACATGTTGAATAAATCTTGTCATCTGAAAGGAATCAGACCATCAGAGTCGACAAATGAGATTATTTTCCATAGCACTAAATTCTAAAGGTAATTCTCTTGTGACTTTATTAGGAACCAATGAATGATAAAGTAATCAAGATTTGAATAACAAATGCAAAAGCAAAATTCATATGGGTATTTCTTGTTATGTCCAATAAAAGACAAGGATGTAAAAGCAACCTAGCAATGGTTATCTTTAAATTACTTGTCTAATGTGGTCCAAGCAAATTGCTTTCTTGTGGTCTAAACTGGTCCAAAGTTAGAGCTTAGAAGATTTTCAAATTGTACCCCTTGGGTTGTCATTCTAAATAGCACTTCTTTTAGCAGGGGTTTTGCTAAATGCTTTGATAGTCACTCTCTTCTCTATGATCCTTTAAGACTTTGAGCATGCCTTGTAATACTAGTTTTAAAACAGGAAGTTATAATTTGTTTACATATCTGTGCTTGAAAACTATAAATTCTTTGAGAATAATACCTAAGCCTCATTCATCTGTGTTTCCCCATCCACAGCACAGTGTTTGAATATAGTAGGGGGTAAGCACAGAATAAATATTGGTCAAGTGAATAAATGCTAATTATTTCGAGGTTGTTCTCTCTGTCCCTGAAAGCAGATAGTCTGCATTGCTGAATGAGGGTGGATTCAGATGATTCAGAAACCAAACAAGTAGGTGGTATATCCTATTATAAGCTGCAGTTGACAGTGGCCCAACCAGAGGGATGTTCTTGAGGGAAGCAGATGGGCAGCTTAACTCAGTGGTGTGTCTCATTATGAGGGCACCACAGTCCAGTTCATTCACATGCACCCACGTACACACACATTACTAATTATCTTCCATATGCCAGGCACTATTGCTAAAGCACTTGAGGATACTAGGGTATGAAAAAAGATATATTTCTTGCCCTGCTAGGACTTCCAGTATGTTAGAGATGGCAGACATTAATTAAATCATCACAACAGCAAATAAATAATCACAAACTGTGACAACTAGTATGAAGGAAAAGGGCGGGTATATTATGAGAATGGAGGTCTTAACCGATCTTGGAGAGCAATGAGGACATCCCTGAAGAAATGACATTTGAGTTAGGAGTTGACTAAACGAGATGGTGGGAACATCCTAAGCCAAGAGGACAGCATAGCCAAAGTCCCGTGATAGAAGAGTCCATAATGTGTTTGCAAAATCATAAGAAGTCTCAAGTGGCCGTGGGGCAGAGCATGAATGCAGAGTCAGGGAAGAAAAAACTGACGAGGGAGGCAGGAGCCTGAATCATTTAATGCCCTGTTGGCTGCCAAGAGATTTTTTTACCTTTATCTTCAGAGCAGTGGGAAGCCACTTCAGGGGTTAAGGTGGGAACAAAGGAACTTAAATATGATTACATTTACATTTGAAAAGATTCCTGGCTGCTGCAAGGAAAACAGAGTGGAGGAGAGCATGGGTGGATGGAGATCAGTCAAGAGGTTATTGTATCTATTGAGAAGCATGCCTTGTAGTATTAGTTTTATAATATTATAAGGAACTACCCATCTCCCGGCACATGCACATTCTTTCTTATCCCCACTTTGGGGTGTCTCTATGACAGTTCCCTCTGGGAAAGCTCAGCAATAGGTCTCAGGCTCTCTATCTTTCCTGGTGCCAGCAGTTGACAGCCCAGGAGTATGGCAACGCTGAAGCTGGGGTTGGAAATGAAAGAAAGATACCATCTTCACCAATCTTCCGGGATTCTTTGCCCAAAGCTTCCAAAGGAGTTGTATATATTTGCTGTCTCTTTTCTTGTACCTCTTAACCACTACCCTCAACCCACACCAATCTGATTTCTGCCCTTCCCACTGGACATCAAGTCACCAATGATATCTGAGCTGTAGAAGGAAGTGAACTGACATGAGCAAAATTTAGAAAATGAAATGAATAGACCTTGGTACAGATTAGGTATGGAGTTGAGAAATGACGGACTATGACTCCTAGGTTTCTGGCTTTCTAAGCACCATTTTCTGAGACTTTTCAAGCAAGGACCAGACTGAAGAGAAAGATTTGAGCATGGTTTTGGACAAGTTGAGTTACACGTTCCTTTAAAGCATCATAAGGGATTCTCAAGTGGGGAGTGTGTATGTGTAAATTGGTCAGTCTGGAATTCAGGAGATGTGTGGGCTGGAGAAAAAAAATTAGTCATTGGTGCTGAAATGGTAATTGAAGTTATAGGGGCAGCTGGGATTATAGGGTAGGAATCCTTAGAACATTTTTGTGTGCTATAAACCCCTTCTTTGAATATTTCAAAATATAAATAAAATATGCATGATTACAAAAGAAATCAGTTATATTGATATATACATGCTATATATTTATTTCCAGATAGTCCATCAATATCCATTGGCTATCTATTGGATATTGATAGACTATCTGGAAATATATCTATATATCCATTGGATATATTTCTTTACTTTTTATTAAGGTATTATTGATATACACTCTTATGAAGGTTTCACATGAAAAAACAATGTGGTTACTACATTTATGTATATTATCAAGTCTCCACCCATACCCCAATGCAGTCACTGTCCATCGCTGTAGTAAGATGCCACAGATTCACTATGTGCCTTCTCTGTGCTACACTGTTTTCCCCATGACCCCTCACACCATGTGTACTAAACATAATACCCCTCAATCCCCTTCTCCCTCCCTCCTCACCCGCCCTTCCACACACCTCCCCTTTAGTAACTGCTAGTCAAATCTTGGAGTCTGTGAGTCTGCTGCTGTTTTGTTCCTTCAGTTTTTTTTTTCTCACTTTATCTTTTTTGTTGTTGTTGTTATCATTAATCTACAATTACATGAAGAACGTTATGTTTACTAGGCTCCCCCTTCACCAAGTCCCCACCACACACCCCATTACAGTCGCTGTCCATCAGCGTAGTAAGATGCTGTAAAATCACTACTTGTCTTCACTGTATTGCACAGCCCTCCCCATGGCCTCCCCTACAAGCTAATTATACATGCTAATCATAATACCCCCTTTCTTTTTCTCCGCACTTATCCCTCCCTTCCCTCCCATCCTCCCCAGTCCCTTTCCCTTTGGTAACTGTTAGTCCATTCTTGGGTTCTGTGATTCTGCTGCTGTTTTGTTCCTTCAGTTTTTCTTTATTCTTATACTCCACATATGAGTGAAATCATTTGATACTTGTCTTTCTCCTCCTGGCTTATTTCACTGAGCATAATACCCTCTATCTCCATCTATGTTGTTGAAAATGGTAGGATTTGTTTCCTTCCTATGGCTGAATAATATTCATTGTGTATATGTACCACATCTTCTTTATCCATTCACTTGATGGACATTTAGGTTGCTTCCATTTCTTGGCTATTGTAAATAGTGCTGTGATAAACATAGGGGTGCATCTGTCTTTTTCAAACTGGGCTGCTGCATTCTTAGGGTAAATTCCTAGAAGTGGAATTCCTGGGTCAAATGGTATTTCTATTTTGAGCTTTTTGAGGAACCTC